ATGTGATCCTCATTTATAAAACTGTTGTCAGATGTTTCTAGTGTATATTTTTTAAGTTAAGCGAGCACTTTTGAAGACCATGTCTCCATCCTCAGGCTGTAATTTTTTTCTTTTAAAGTTAAAACTTGAAGATGTAATAATTTCAGTCTACAAACAATTATTTCATCTTCAAGCTTAACTTTAAACTTTAAAAGGAAAAAATTACAGCCTGACTGATCTAAAAAGATAAATAGTATGCTCTCTTACTGTGAAAGTTGAACAATACTAAGGTGAAGTTCAGGATTAACTGTTATTTCAGTAGACTGTATTCTCGACTGTTAGTACCATATTATTCTTCGGAATAAATTACTACTACTTTTTATATGTGCATCCATATCCAATTCATGATATAACATTTGGCGACAAGAGATTCGAAATTTACAATGGATACCAACATTTGACAACAAAAATTTGAATGTTAATACCAGCATGGACCAAGGACTCAAGTGTAAAAATTTATAGTCATATACCAAGAATTTATTTGGAGACTACTCAACCTTGGATTAATTCCAAGTCAAATGTGTAAAAACAAGTAAGAAGTTGCTCAGTTAAATTTTGTCTCTATAAAGAAACACCGAGGATTTTAAAGAAGCAATGTTGGAATTCCTGAGAATCCATCAGAAACAAACTGAAGAGTTGGAAGAACAATGATGTTTGGACCAGGAATGCTTTGAGAAACAAAATGGATGGTTCAAAAATATGTTTGAATTGTTAGGATTAAAAAAGAGCAAGGCAATACACATTTTTTTTTCTCAGGATTTGGTAATAAATTCAATTGGAAAATTTAAGTATAGTCCTAAGGAGGAAGTAACTTTTGCAGCATATTTTTGCCATTATGAAGAGGTCTTTCAAAAAGGTTGCACTACATGGTTGGACAAAAAGAAAATACATCTGTTGCTCAGAAAATTTGATCCAAGTGAACACGAAATGCATGCAAATTACATACTTCTGAGAAAGCCTGGGGAAGTGTCTTTTGAGGAAACTGTCTTAATTCTGGAAAAAAATTGTGAGTAGAGAAGTTCTCTTTTCAACACAAGATGGCAATGTTTAAACCTTAAAAAGAAAAGTGGGGAAGATTTCTCGACATTTGCTGGGATTGTCAATAGAGAGTGTGAGAAGTTTAAACATATCAGTAATAAGTTCTTTCAGCTTAAAGTGCTTGATTTTTGTACGAGGACTGATGGCTCCAGAAGTATCCAACTTCAGAATGATAATTTTGTCGAAATGAGAACAAAATCCAAAAATCAGTCTACAAATGGTCACAGAAGAATGAACAAATAGAAAATCTTTGACATGGCAAAAATAGAGGAATGAAAAGCGTCAAATATTCAGACAGTTCAGCAAAGACAACATAAAGAAAATGTTGCCCGAAAAATAAATCATTGTTATGGCTGTGGGCAGATTCATTATTACAAGAAATGTCCATTTAGGTAAAAAAGATTGCTTTAATTTTGGCAAAAAGAGACACAAGCATATGCACTGCAAAAAATCCCAAAGTAAAAAGAGGTCAAAAATGCAAACAATGGAAGGAAAATGATAAGAAAATTTGTGGATGTACATATGAACAAGAAAAATTGTTTGGAAACACAATTACTCTCTGCCAAGTCAGGAAGACATATTCACAAAATTGAATGGTAGCAAAGTGTTCTCAAAACTGGATTTGTCTGATGTGTACCTCCAGATTCCTGTTGACAAATTTAACTATAAATACGCATAAGGATTTGCATAGATTCAACCTACTGCTATTTGGGATAAAAGTTGCACCAGGCATTTCCAACAAATCATGGATACGTTATTGAATGACATTGACTTCGCAATAGCCTACCTTGATGACATCTTAATTAAGAGTGAAAGCTAAGAACATGCTGAACACATTAAAGAAGTTTTTGAAAAATAAAACAATACTGCTTAAAACTTAGTTTATCTAAACTGAATTTTTTTTTATCTAACATTACAAACTGTGAAGTTTTTTTTTATCTAATATTAAATATTTGGGACAAGTTATAAATGCAAAAGACAGGAAACCAGACCTATTGAGATTGAGTGTGATAAGAAACATGCTGCCCCCCAACAAATGCGTCAGCACTACAAGCAATCTTGGGTCTAGCAAATTGTTACGGTAATTTTATCCCAAATATGCGCATACAAACAAATTGTTAAAAAAGATTCCAAATGGTACTGGAATACAGAAAGTCAGAATTCTTTTAAGGAAATTAAAACAATATTAACATCAAACTTAAATCTGGTGCTTTACAATCCAAATAAGAATATTATTGTTGTAAGTGATGCTAGTAATTTGCGCTTAGGAGCTGTAATATTACACAAAGAAAGCAACAGCTAAATAAAAGCAATTGCAGATAAGCCAAGGACCCTTATTGCTAGCTAAAAAACGATACAGTCAAATTGAATAAAAGGCATTAGGGATCATTTTTGCAGTGAAAAAGATTCATACATGGAAGGAGTTTTACACTTCAAACAAACCATCGACCATTATTTTCTATTTTTGTTTCCAAAAAAGGGATTCCTACACATACAGCAAATCAACTTCAGAAATGGGGAACAATATTATTAAATCATAATTTAAAGATGGAGTTCCTTCTGTCAAAGAGGTTGGGTCATGCAGGTAGGTTATCCAGGCTAATCCACAAACTATGTGATCCATTAGAGGAAATTGTGATAGCAGCTTTAAGAATAGAAATGAAAATAAAAGGTGTGCAATGCAACACCATATTGGAATTACCTGTGATGTTCAAGGAAATCAAGATCAAAGCTAAAAGTAGACAAGTATATCACAGAGAAAAAGAAGCAAATTAGTAGCCAACATTACAAAGAGAATGATGGTGAAAAGTTTTTTCTATCTGTGATGGTATATTAACATACAGAGAATGTGTGGTAATAAAAAAGAATACTTATTTTCATAATAGAAACCCTGGAATATCAAGGATAAAAGATTTAATGTGAATTTATGTTTTTTTGGTCAAATATTGACAAAAATATAGAGAAATATGTAAAAACATGCAGAGGTTGTGCAATGGCAGCAAAGGTAGCACCGGTGAAATTTAACCCCTGGCCAAAGACAGACAAACCTTGGCAAAGGTTGCCTATTGATTTTGCAGGTCCATTAAATGGGCAATACTATTTGATTGTGTATGACATTTTTTTTTAAATCACCAGAGGTGATAAAATTTTTAAAATCCTATGTGTAGTGGTATGATAAAATTTTTTCATGAACTTTTTGCAAGATTCATAGTTATATATATGATTGTGTTGGACAATGACATGCAATTTGCAACAGAAGAGTTCAAAGATTTTTGTAATTTTTTTTAATTGTATATCCGACTACCACGCCATATCAACCACAATCTAATCGCCAAACAGAAAGATTTTTGGATACTTTCAAGCGAGCATTGAAAAAGTGAGACAGAAATGAATCCATTGATGTGATACAATTCTTAAGAGTATATCAGGTGAGAGTGAACCGAAGTACAAATTCGGGGTTTATCACCTGCAGAATTAATGTTCACGATGAAAATAAAATTGGTACTTGACAAGTTGTTACCAAAGGAAAATAAAAATAGAAGCAAAAAAAAGCAGAATTACAAAATCCTAGACACCAAGAGAAAAGATTTTTTTTCAAAGAATATAGGTAAAGAGTTCTGGAATGCTGGTGTCATAGATAAACACATTAGGAGATTGATACATTATTTACATTATTCAGATTATTGTCCTCATCTTTGTCGCCATATTTATCACAACGTTTTGGCCATTGTACACTCTGGCCTTCTTCAGGTGGTTGGAATATCGAACTGAACCCTTTATTTCACTCACTGGGGTAGACTGTTCTAGTTCCACATGTCATGTTTGATGGATGTCAGTTATCAGTTTTATCCAATTTCCCTCTGAAAGTTCTCTGAGGTGTTGGTTAGATCCAATGATTGGGTCCTGTCAAAGAATGATGAGTTCCAAAGAATTTATCCACTGTTAAGGCAGTGGAGAACTTTCAGAGGGAAAATTAACAGGAGATAACTGATAACTGACATCCATCAAACATGGCATGTGAACTAGAACAGTCTACCCCAGTGAGCAAAATAAAGGGTTCAGTTCGAAATTCCAACCACCTGAAGAAGGCCGAGCGCATAATGGCCGGTAAACGTTGTGATAAATATGGTGACAAAGATGAGGACAATAGTCCGAATAATGTAAATAACGTACATAATACCTCATCTCAGAAATATAGACAGACTAGGAGATTGATGTACATGATTAAAAGAATTGAAAAAGACAGTTAAGTGACATCACAACTAGATAAGGAAAAGGTACTTGGATGATATGAATAACCAAAATGAAGAGACAATGAAGGTTATTTATGACCTATTCAAGGTACCAAAGCCTTTATTAACCTTGGATGAGAGATGTTTGAGTAAGCAAAAAAGGAAATTATCAGGGATTATACAAATAAACCCAAAAAGACAAAAATACAACTTCCAGAGGAAGTAGTAAATTAAAAAAAAAGGGAGATGACGTGAAGTACCAAAGCACCCCCTCCCCACAAGACGACTGATCTAAAAAGATAAATAGCAATGCTCTCTTATTGATAGAGTGGAAGTTAAGAGAATTGAGGTCACGTTCACAATTAACTGTAATTCCAGTAGACCGTGTTCTCGACTGTTAGTACTGTATTATTCTTCAGAATAAATTAATACTTTTATATTTGTATCGACTTATCAATTTCATGATACAACAGTGTGGACATGCATAAGAAGCATGTCTAGAAAGTATCCAGCCATTACATCTATCTTAACTAGTTGTATGTTGTTTTTTTTTATGTAAAGCCCCTCAGAGGGAGACCTTACAGCCCACAGGGTTATTTGGTTGGCAATCAGACACCAATGGCCAAGCTTGTGTGTGATGCGACCATTGTATTCTTTGCATCTTGTGCCAGTTTGGTGGGGAACAAAGCATCATGCAAGTCTATAGAGCGGAGAGAGGAAGTGAGATGGAAGGGACAGGGAGATGGGGGAGGAGGAGAGGAGATGGGAGAAGAGATGGGGGAGGAGGAGAGGAGATGGGAGAAGAGATGGGGAGGAGGAGAGGAGATGGGAGAAGAGATGGGGGAGGAGGAGAGGAGATGGGAGAAGAGATGGGGGAGGAGGAGAGGAGATGGGAGAAGAGATGGGGGGGGAGGAGGAGAGGGAGATGAGGAGAAGAGATGGGGAGGAGGAGGAGGAGGAGATGGGAGAAGAGATGGGGGAGGAGGAGAGGAGATGGGAGAAGAGATGGGGGAGGAGGAGAGGAGATGGGAGAAGAGATGGGGGGAGGAGGGAGAGGAGATGGGAGAAGAGATGGGGAGGAGGAGAGGAGATGGGAGAAGAGATGGGGGAGGAGGAGAGGAGATGGGAGAAGAGATGGGGAGGAGGAGAGAGATGGGAGAAGAGATGGGGGGAGGAGGAGAGGAGATGGGAGAAGAGATGGAAGAGACGGGAGGGGGGAGGAGTTGGGGAGAGAAGAAGAGACGGGGAAGGGGAGAGAAGAAGAGACGGGGAAGGGGAGAGAAGAAGAGACGGGGAAGGGGAGAGAAGAAGAGACGGGAAGGGAGAGAAGAAGAGACGGGGGAAGGGGAGAGAAGAAGAGATGGGGAAGGGGAGAAATGGAAAAATTGAAAAGTTCTTTATCAACAAATCATTATCTGAATGTGCATGCTATTTCCTTAAACTGAATCTCGACAAACATTTTTTAATTAACCCCTTATACTCTGTAACAATTGTGGGTTATATATAAGTAATTATATTAATTCATAACAAAGAGCTGTCTATAAGTGGAAAGAGTAACACTTCAATTTATATATTGTCACAAAGAAGTCTTCATCATGGGGTCACCACTTTCCCCAGTGATTTCTCAAAACTACATTGAACCCACTCCTTTTTTTTTTAAGATCTGAACCTATGCCTGACACTGTTCCAGCCTTATGTCTGGTATAGATATAAATACCTTCATTTTTAAGATCTAAGGACCTTCAATCTCTGTTTTACCAGAAAGACATGAAATTCTGTTTGATCACATGCACTCAATTAAATCATCTATCAATTTTGCTGGATATCCTGGTAACGCATCCACAGAGTGGGCACAAAGAAGGAAACAGACAGAGTTGTATATAAATTTGAATTCTAAGAAAGAATTAATCTGTTCACTTCATGTCACAAGTAGTAATCCCATGAAACTGGATGAAGAATTTAGACACATTAAGCTAAACAAAGTATAAAGAAACAGGAAAATTTAATTAAAGAACAAAGAAAATGGTGCTCAACTGCCATGTAATGCGAGTCGTCCTATATAGCAGTAAATGCTGGAGAATTTCCACGGATGAAGAGGAAATTTGAGGAAAATTGCAAAGAGTTTGTATGTGTTATCCTTTCAGCACAGTTGCCATTCTTTTTTTTTTTATTATATTTGTTAGTTACTTCCCTAAAGCTGGTGTATGTAATTTTGGTCATTGTATTTACATCCATATTTAAAGCTGATTTCGCTGTTAGGTCTGCTTTATTGTTACACTGGCAGCATGTCCCGGTGTTGTCCGTGCTTGATTCAAAAATCGTACGACTCATACAGCAATCGCTATCACTTGACTTAAAATATTTTTGCCCTTCCTTGCCTTTAAAGAAGTGCCCTTTTCCGTGCTGATGTTGCTACATGCCTTACTTCTTGCTTGTCTCACACACTGCAAATTTTTTCTAAGCTCTATACTAAACATTAAATCTGTTACAAAAAAAAACAACTAAGCAAAATGAACACAAAACGATCAGCTAAATAAAAAAAAAAAAAAAAAAAAAAGGACTTAACTGGAAGAACCAAATGAAAAAAGAATGTTAACAACAAATACTTTTTCACACCCAACCCAGTTCTGCGGAATCAGAATCAACGTTGAGTTTAAGCAAGCGAATGAACCAATTGGAGTAAAGAGCCATGCAGATTTAAATTTTTCCCACTTGTGACAAATGCAGTTATCGATTTTTTTGCATGCTAGCATGCTAGTTAACATTCATGTCAGTCAGCTGTTGGCTCTCATGCTGGCTAATAGAATCTTCCTGCCTATTCATGGCAGCCAGCTATAGGCTCTCACTCTGGCCAGTAGAAAATGGCCACAAACTACATGAAAACTGCTATAGAAGCATGAAAAAAAATCGATTATTTCCACTATCGATGGGAGTTGGGAAATGCAAAGTCAGTCTTGGCCTTCTTGCTAATTTGGAGAATGTGCATGTAAATTTTGGTGCAAATCCGTGGAAAATTGTGGCTGGGCATTTGTTACACACACACACACACACACACACACATCCTGCCTTTTATAGATAGATTCAACTCCAATGTGGCTAGGAATCCAATATTATGTCTTTATGCTTGCAAATAGTGCTCATTTTACATAATAGTTTGATAATGAGTGGGTGGTTTGATTTTTTTTTTCTTCATAGCCATTAGGACAGATAGTGAGTCCAAAAAAGTAAAAAGTTCTTTTGTTTGCTCTGTGTAGCTCTATTGTGCCAACCTATTGTAATAAGAAATGGGCACCTCGACATGGTAATGGTTAGAAAGCTTGTCTTACTATATCAATTTACATCCGAGTAGTGAGTTTGATCCTCGCTGGGTGCCCCATACTTTCGGCCTTGTGCTACATCTAAGCCGGGCTTAGAAAATCGCTATAGTAATAAGAAATTAATCTTCTATAAAACCCGATGTTGATTTTTCAATTGATATACAAGATTAAGTGAATCCTGCCATGGCTTGAATGTCTGTCTAGGAGATAAAATCAAAAGCATTGATACATATGTAGTGACTATTTCATAGATAAAAGATTTATACATACTGGGTTCTTTATTACTGTAAACATTATTTTAATGGATCAGGCATTTCAGCAGACATTCCCAACATTTTCACACAGTAAAATTAATCTTCACTGGCCTAGACAATAGAAAATTTCATTAAAGTAAACTTCTTAGCAAATGAGAATGCCATGGACTGAACAGCTGAACAATGAGGAAGTTTTAAGGAAAATAGGAATGAAAAGGACATTTTTGATTAGGATCAAAAAAAAAAGAGTTAAAATTTCATAATGAGAAAAAGACAGCTTGGAGAATTTGATACTCACAAGACATATTAAAGGCATGTATAAAAGCAGTATGAACATAGCTATCAACAGTGGATAGTGACAGTCTGTTTCATACTTAGATAAAACCATCATGGCCTAACGATTGCGTTTAAGCAGCAAACAGATTGTCACCATCCAGTGTTGATATTTATGTCCACACTGTTTATATTTACATACATTCTGGCTCAGGAGTGGTTTTCTCCCATGAATATAGCATATCTAAAACATTATATTTTATCATATGTATGAGGTACATTCAAAAAGTATCCAACTCTTTATTTTTCCTGCCAAAATTAGTGTGACAATTTTCTTGCAAGTAGGCTACATCAGTTGCAGCTGTTATGCCTAGAATGTAGACAGAACAAGCCGAGAGATTGCATCATGTTTTGCCAAAAAGCTTGGTGATACTGAAGCTCAAACCATCCAGAAGATTCAGCATGCCTTTGGCGATGAATCCAGGGGCAAAATTCAGATCAAGGTGTGGTATGACTGCTTCAAACATGTCTGCACCTCAGTAGAGAGCAAGGCGCAATCACACAGGCCATCCACAAGTCAAAACGAGGAGTCTATTGAGAAGGTCATGGAAGACTGCCATGTAATAATCCAGGAAATTGCTCATCAAGTGGCAATAAGTACAGGATCAGTGCGTTCCATTTTAATGGAGGATTTGTGTATGCGGAGAGTATTGGCAAAATTTGACCACCCATTCCACCTACATAATCCAAACTTTCTTGGTCAAGAATATCACACCACTTATTCAACAGGCTCCCAACTTGGTACCATATAACTTCTGGCTCTTCCAATCTGAAAACCACACAAAAAGGGAAGCAATTTGAGTCACAATAGGGAATTATGAGAAAAACATTGGCAGAGTCCCACAGCATTCCAGGGAAGGTTTTCCAGTGGTATTGCCATCAGTGGCAGAACCGCAGGGAGAAATGTGTGAACTCCGAAGGAGAATATTTTGAAGGTGATTAAATAAAATTTATGAAATGTACAAAATTCATTTTTTCTTTTGCTTAAAAGTCAGATACTATTCGAATGCACCTTGTATACACATACTCACTATCATATATCAAGGCAGTTATTAATTAAATTGCCAAGATTCAAAATAATGTAAATTATTACCTATGTTGTATGAGGAGGCATGGTGGAGTAATGGATTGCAGCTAAGATTGTGGAATCAGAGAGCCAGGTTCAGATTCCAGTCAAATCCATTACATTCACATGTGCTTGGGAAAGGCATGAATCCTCTTCTCCCCCCAGCTATGGGTAAATAGCAGGACAGACCAGGTTCTGTATCCTTGGATGGCAACTGGTCTACCGCAGAAATAAACGGCAACCTACTGCAGGAAAAATCTGCCTCGTCAGTCATGTATCAAAAGATACGTGATCACTTAAGCATGGCATATAAATGACTAATATTGCATATTACTCTCATTCTTAGATATTCCAATGAGAATACAGTAAAAATCCTGAAAGTCAATGATAGCTTCACAAGACTAATTCTAATTATAGCTTCAGGACTAAAATTTCAGAGAATGAAAGATTTTTATGCATTACAATTTAAAGGCTACATGAATAAAGATGCTTAAAACAATAGTGACATCATCTGTAAGGTCAGAGCATAAAACAAAAAAATGTGAAGAATTATACAATTTGGGTTAATGAAAAACCACTCACCTTCTTCAACATCATTCCGAGCAGCAGCTTCCAAAATTTTGATATTATCTACAAAATCCACTGAGCCCTTTTTGTGACGCTTGGAGGGGCGTTTCATGTTGTTCAGGTGAGTATTTTTCCTCTTCTTACTGGACTCTTTCTCAATTTTCTTTTCATAATGATTGTACTGTTTCAACTGGTATGCACGGCGTTTTTTGGCATGCTTTAGCCTCTCCGCTGGGGTCATCTTCTCCACCAGGTTGATTTCAGCGACCAAATCGGCATGATCCATGGCTTCTCGGATTTTCTTTCACTGGTTTTTTTCTCAAAGAATAAATGTTAAAAAAATATTGGGCTGAATGCGTTGGTGGTAAGAAGAGATTTCAGAAATGGTGGATGTGTTATGTTTCCTTTATTTTGCTGTTGTTGCGGGACAGGGTAAATGTGTTGATGACAAGCAAACCAAGACTTAAAAAAAAAAGTTCAAGATGAAAAATCAATCCAAAGCTGTTTATTGTCAGCCATATTTTAAATAGATGAGATGCAGATGAAAAAAATATTTTTTTTTTTTTTTATGTGTGTGGGTGAGATGAGACAAGACTGGTTGGTGCCAATAGGTCAGCTATTTACCAAATTGTTGACCAACGCTGATTAGCAGGTCTTTTGTGAGAATGGATATGAATTCCATCCATTGGTCGATAGCGAAGACAATAATGTGGAGGTGAGATATTGGCTTTATTTAATGCCATGCTACATGTATAGTCAGATGACAGTTTAAAAATGGCCGAAGAATAACCAGTGGATCTGCAAAGAGAAAGAAAGAAAAAATGCTTTAATGTATGGGAAATACAAAAGGCTTATTTT